GGATCTCATCCCCATGGTGCGGGCGCACCTGCAGGCATAACCTTCAGCGAACAAGCTGCTGGAGTGCATCCTCCATAGCCGGGATCTCAGTGTGGGTAGCGCCCTCGTGGAGGTTTGGTGCAGAACACCTTGGCACCGCCACTACTAGTGACAGCTGCTGCAGGCATCACAACGAGAGGGAGGTGACAAAATCCTTCTGAGTTCTGACCATTAGCACAAGCCAGGCTTCCTAGAAACAGCCGACTCGCCTGCACTAGGTAAAGCCTGGCAAGGAGCATGAACAGGTAACGAAACAATCTTATGGTGCTTTTGGCAATCACTCCCTATGTATCTACTAGAAATATTTATATCTAGGTACATAGCAAAAGCTATGCACCTATAAAAGCCAGAACAGACTTACAATTTGGAACAGAGGGGGTACATAATAAAACACATGTAGCCTAATAGTACTGCAGACTGGAGTCATACCAAGCATTCAACTAGGAACATAACAGGAACACCCAGATATTAAACAATTCCACATCAAGGAAGATACCAGTTATGCTTATGATGACTACTATCAATTTTATCCAAACCCACTAGTAACAAGAGATACCCATTGATCTTTTTTCTCTCTTGACCTAGTGCACGGGTACCTAAAATGGCAGCTAACACCCAGCAACAGTACAGGTGGTGTATTTTAATTGTAGGATGCAAGAGCACAAAATTATATCAATGCATAAGCACATTTATCACACATACAACAATGACTAGAGAACACTTCAGCATGAAGAACATGTAAGAACTCTCTTTTTTGTTATTTAGTTTAGCAAATGGGGTACTTACAGCAACGGTGCATGCAATCAATCCAGGCTTCTCTCTGTGGTCCAAAGCAACAAAGAATAGAAGGAACAGCCAGCATACCAGGGGATTGCCGCCAAGAAGAACCCCAATAAGAACCTTCAATAGAATACAGAAGCTAAGTTTGTATGCTGGAGACATTGTATTTTGGAATTTTTTTTGCAAAAATAAAGGATAAATGTTGCACATGAGCAGATTTACTGCAAGAGACGATAGACTTGCACAGATTCGTACAGAACTAAGCTAGTAATGCCACAAAATATCACACCAACTATGCCATGTGGGGTCGGCAGACAGCAGTACTCCGTGAGAGCGCAAGCACACCAACGCACCGAACGTGTTGGATGGCGTGGCGAAACACGCCAAACGCCGTGAGGGCCAATCTGTGGGCCTTAATTCTAGGAGATTAGCTCTCAGTTTGTCAGCCCTTGGGGTGTTCATTTAATTGTATGAGACAAAGGTAAAGCAATAGATGATATCCTTCTCATATATCTCCTTCCTCTAAGATAGGGCACAGAGGGGAAAACTTAGCCCCAATCCCGACCACGAGTACCACCTCGTGGTTGGGGTGTGCTGCTGCTACTACGATGCCCCAACCACGCCACAACATCTTAGTATCAGGTTGGACATGAAACCAATCCGGACTTCCGTATCCTCGCTCAACGCACAAATCGACAGCAACTCGCTTGAGCCATTCAACGCCTAGAAACAATGGTCGCCACTGCCATACACCGAGTCCTCGGGCAGCTGCACCTAGACAGGTGAGCACCACAAAAGTAAAACATGATATAACACCTCACGTCCAAAAACTGCTTATATGGCCCAGCTCCACACATGGAACAGGCCTGCATCACATCGTAACACCTCTCTTACACTTTTCTACTCGCTTCATGTAAAATGGTTAACTTTCGGAAGTGCTACGTTTGGAACCACAATGATTATAAGTTGGTACTAAACCCACTAACTACAACTCCTCATGTGCCACATGGGCCACATGGGCCAACAACTCAACTATTATAGGCTTCTCTGAGCCCAATTTGGTCACACATGCATGCAGGTTTGGGTGCTCCTGGGAGCTGTTCGACGAAAATGCTTAGACGGGGATGTTGCCCAGTTTGGTCATGCACAATAGTCTTCCTGATGCATGCTGGTACCAGGGTGTTGTGGCCAAGGCTCAGGAGGTGTGGGATCAGATGGTGACTACACAAAGGTCAGCAATTTGTACATGATTGAATTTTTCAATTTTGTACATCCTCAGCAGCTGATGGTTCAGAGACTGATCATGCGATCTGTACTTTATATTATCTAAAAATGAGATTTGTATTGTGTCTCCATATATCAATTGGGCTGGGTGGAGAATGTCGATGTGGACAGCAGGTTGGTGCACAACATCTATGCTACGGGTGAACTCGGGGCTGCCTTGGTGCACACTGGTTCGATGGAATGCTGGATCGCCAGTCTGGCGCCTTGCCAGCGTCGTCATGGCCAGCAGCATTCCGACAGTGATATCGGTGGTAATCTCTATACAGTCTATGGCATGGATTACCGTGTACCATTTTCTCTCTATCCAATTGAATCCCTAAAAGATTTCAGATCCTTATGAAAAATCATTTGTTGCAGTGGTGCCTTAGCACGGAGGGAAGGAAGAGCATGCTGAAGCTGGCTGAGAGGATGGTGATGAGCTTTTGCAGTGGTGTCAAACACCCAATGACCCAAAAGCAGAGGGGAGGGAACCATGGTGTTTCTGCTATAACAGAGATTTGGTATCTCATTCAAACTTTTAGTTTTAGCTTTGCAAAGTTCTAAACAAACCTGGTGTCACCTTCTCAGTGTTTTTTTTTTTCAAATTTTTCAGTCAAAATTGACGAGGTGTACTCAACGACCTCCCTACCAACAGTGGTGTCAATTGAGATTGTTGGCACCTCCATCCACTATGTGTTGTTGCTGGGAGGCGAAGCACCAGCCTTGCTGCTGGGACACAAAGCACGTCCAGGCGTGCACCGCGCAGGAGCAACAGAGAGATCACAGCTCCAAAGGTGGAATCATGCTGACCGACATATATGGTGCAGGGACTTAGGGTCTGTGTTCACAAGGTCATTGTCCATGCATAGTAGTTCTTGGATTGGATTACCTAATTTTTTATCCAGTAATGTGATTAGGAGCAGCTACCTCTGCTTGTGCTTGCAAGTCGTAATATAAATTTTGATTTCCTCCTACACCATTTTTCCTTCCTAAAATTGCTTCTTGCAAAGAAGGAAGCTTTGGATTGTATAGTTCAGTACATGTTACACATCTATTTTAATTTGCATCTACTACTAGCTAGAATCTAAAGACAACAATTAATTTGATGCTAAAGAGATCTTCATTCAGATTAGCACACATTAGTCATAAAAATTGACATCTACATCTCACAAAGTTGAACCATCCTCTCATACCATATAGTGAGGCATAATTCTATTTTTTGTTAGCATGTAGCAACACACAGGCACGGACCTACAAAGCTTGATTAAGTCAATGATTTATATGTATTTCAATTCTTTCTCCTGCAGAGGCTGACAAGTTCTTTAAAATTCAAAGGGACTTGGATGAAAGCAAGATTATTCGGTGAGTAACTTTATGTTTGTTGAATTCAAAGGGGCAAACATGTTTGCATTACATGTTACATTTTAAACATGGTTGCTCCTCGAGAAACAATAAGGGACTCAGTAGAAAGTTTTAAGTCTAACCATCCTTTAGACATAGTGATTTGCATTGGGTTTAATCCTGGCGCTGTCACATACTTCTCAGATATTCCCTCCTGCAAGAGTGTATCTTGAGGAAGCTCATGATATTTTTTTAATAAAAAATTAACTTTAAACCTTGCAGGAGGATTTCAGTATTATCTTTTGCTACTTATATAAATTATTCTTCCTGAAAGGACTCTTAACACATTGATATTTGATTATCTTAGCAACTGAAATCCTACATGACATTGCCTAGCTTCAAAAGTACTTCATGTCTCCCTTTAGCATAGATTAGAGTAACCATCAGAGACATCAAGGCCCGATCAGTTTTTACCAAGTCCTTCTGACATTTGTGTAGAAGGGCAGGCCTGGTGCAGTGCTGAGAGCTGTCTCACTGAGTCACCAGGTCGCGGGTTCGAAGCAGCCTCTCCGCAGATTTTGCGGGGGGAAGGCTTGCCTCGGTTTTCCCCTTCCCCAGACCCCACTCATGTGGGAGCCTCCGGCACTGGGTCTGACCTTTGCCCCTTCTGACATTTGTGTGTAGTTTCGTCCTCCTCCTTTGGTATGATGACCATTAACATTCCATCTCTGCCTGACTTTTCTCTCTGTTTTCTACCAGTCCTTTCTACAAGTACTAATTAATATGATATTCTTCTGTATTAGGAGCTTCCGGCCATTGAAGCAAATAAACAAGTATTCAAAGTAAAATTGGATCTATAGGAATTTATTTAGTTTGCTAATGTTGATGCCTACTTTTTCTATTTACTCTGTTTGGCCAGATGGACCAGCGGCTAGGAACATTTGCATAAAACTGAGTTGCTGGCATGAGGCAGAACCAGTGATGAGGTTTGGGGCTGAGGGCAGTTGATGGGCTTGAGCAGAATAGGAGGTTGGAGGATGCACTTCAGTTGTTCGACAGAATGCTTGGGGCAGAACTGTGATGCTATTTGGCAGCAACGGTTCTCAAATTATGTGATTATCTTAGACCAATGATTATCTGCACTATAACTTCATTGTACTAATCAAGACTCCATATTTATATATGTCCATTCACATCAAAATTTGAATTATACTTTTAGTGTTCATGCTTCGTGAGAACTGTAATATTGATGATTGGCTAAGAAAATGGAATGTTATGAATACCACACTCGAAGTATGGCGTTCAAACTCAAATTTTCATGTTATTAATTTTTCCCTTTGCAACGCACGGGTACGAAACTAGTTAAAAGCACAATTCTCACCCAATTACCATTTGACCCTCTTAGGACTCTAAACTCCAATTCTCCTTCCCACGAAACGAATCAAAAATTTCTCTTAAACTCCAAACTCCCGTTCCCTCTGTTCCAGTTACCCCCAACCAAACGTCAATTGCCCCAAACAAAACAAACATGCCGCACAGTATTAGCTCGATCCGTGTCTCCTTGGTACATAGAGCACTCACAGAAACCAGCCGACGCCGACGCCGCAGAACGGTAGGGGCGGCTCTCGGACGGGGACGCCCTCCACGAAGACCTGCTGCTTGACGGCGCACGGGAAGGCGACGAAGCCCTGGCCGCCGAGCCCTGAGTGCCAACGAACACACAGAAGCATCGATCGAGTCATATCTCAAAACCAGAAGGGCGAGAATCGAGGATAATGGCGCCGGGACAGGGAGCAACCACCGATCGGAGAGGCATGGTAGTCATGGTAGGCGGCGGCGCCTACGACGGGCGGCGTCGACGACTGAAACGGCTGGGGAAAGGTACCGTAGCCGTGATGGTATCGGAGAGGGTTCGCGGCGGGAGCCGAAGGGGATGGGGATGAGGATGAGGATTGGGACTGCGACGGGAGCTTTGTGGTGGTGGGGTGCTTCGCCTCTTGCATCGCCTCAGTGGTGGAAGCCGGATAGGCGCGGAGACCGGAGATGTAGGATCTCGAGGGGAGGTTTGCGCGCGGTGGATTCGTGGAGACGACGGGGGATCGCCGGGTTTGGAGGAAGAGGAATTGAATCTGGACCGGCGGCACAGGGAACCGGCAAGGATGAGCCGAATCGAGAGTTGAGTTCCCCTTTTTCTGCGACAAAAGTAGACTGGTGCATGGTGATGATAACTGATAAGCGAAACAAACACAGGCTCAATCTAACCAGGCCTTAATTATTAATGGTACGTGTTCAGCAGCACCAGCTTGCCCCGGCCCATCGAGGCCTAGCTTATCGAACGGGCCGGGCCAGCCACGCTTGTGCATTTCCTGCAAACAAACACGCCCCAAATAGCTGCATGATGCTCAGAACACAGCCTGATGCTCAGTCTTGGATCCATGGGCTTGGATTGCCGGCCTCAAATGTCAGAAACGCAATTTGTTGCTACGGGTCAGCCCAGCGCAGCATATCAAAGCACGATAAATTCTCAGAAAGTAAAAAGAGGAAAATAGTTCTTTGGCCCTAAAAAAAAATTAGAGTGCTTGGGAGGAACCCGAGGTTCCTCGGCGCTAAACACATGGGCCGTAAAGACATTAATTTGTATAAGCATGGGTAGTTCAGTCATTGTAGTTTAATTGATCCAGGCGTCTTCGGCGTCTTTCGCGAATCTAACCGTACTGCGACAGATCGAGATGATCATCGCTCTATTCAGCGCAGGGGTGTCCTTGCCGTCCGGGCGTCCGACCCATCCTCTCATGCCGTCAGTAGCCACGTCTTGCCATGGCCCTCCAAATTCAGCGGCTCGGCGCCATCCAAGCATCGCTGCACCTGCCGGCGGTCGCAACCGCGCGCACACAGAGTGGATCAGGCAGGTTGCACACCACTGCAACTGAATTGAAAGCCCGATATTCACTCTTATGCTTTAGTTTTTGCCACAAGTGAGCTTCAGAGTTATCTTACTTCCATTCGAAAAAAGAGTTATCTTGCTTCCTCTGCAATTTCTATACATATACAGGAGTTTGATAAACTCCACGGTCAGAAGCATTTGCTATTTTGTGTCTGACAACAACAATTTTGATTTGCTGCAGTCTTTTGGCCACCGCGCAATTCCTGATAGCCTGTAGTCAGACGGTGGAAAGGTTCGATCGGCAATATCTACTAGATGCTGCTCCTCTTGGTCGACGGTCGACCGCCCGGCCAGTAGTCGGATACTTGCATACGCGGAGGCCAGGAATAGGGTGGATGGAGACTCGCGAGCACCGACTGGACGCTGAGATGAACATTATGGAGCCCTCTGCATTGGCCTGAGACCATTGGGGCTTCTCAGACGAGGAGGTAGCCGGCGGTAATGGACAGTCGTATGAGATTAGGTGGGAACGAACGAGAATGATAGGATCAGAAAAGAAACTAAAGGGATGCAAATGACCAATATACCTATGCTATTATTTTTTCAATGGGTTCCGGGCCCACAAAATTTTATTTCTGATCCACAACTTAAGTTCTTTCCAAGAGGTACCTCCAATCTTGTAACCCTTCGATCCAAATTGATGGATGGCTCTTATTATTTCCGAGCACCGTAAAATTTCACAAAAAATTATGCTTAGTTTATTAGCCCTTTTTCAATTGAACTTGCTTATTTGACCCTAAAATGAATTTTGTTTTAGTTCTTGGCCCTTCCTTTTAGTTTGACAATGTAACGGTGTTAAAAGCAACACGAAATGACTCTTTTACCCCTGACGCAGAATGGACGCTACAACAGCCAATAGTAGAGTCATACATGCCTTTCAAGCTACCTACTATCAATAATTTCCTAAAATAAGGTACAATATTTTTTCAAGCATGAAATTATTATTGTTATATATTTTTTTAAGCATGAAATTATTATTTTCTATATACATTTTTGGGAAATTATTTTATAAAAAAACATATATAAAATAATAATTTCATGCTTGAAAAAATATTGTACCTTAAAATAAAAATAAAAAATCAAAGCACAATTTTCTGCTACTATAACACTTCTGCCACAAAGTTAGCTTGATTAACTAGTTTTAGAGTTGTCAGCTCTGCTACCTGGTTCTGCACTTGATTTCCTGTTATAGTGTTATCAGTTATCCTCTTGCACTGTTTTTTTTTTGTGAATTACATAGTACAATGCGAACTCACAACGCAGACACACTCATCCCTATGAACGAACGCACGCAAAAGACTGGATCGGCAAATCCTCGAGGTTGACAAAGTCATCACATGTACTCCGCTTTTGACGGAAACTTCGCCTACCACTAAAAGAAATTTAATTAACAAACGAAGTGTGATGCCTAAAGATCAATAACTATTACTATATTATTTGGTTTGGAACGTGTAAGTAGGTGATGTTCATCAGCCTTTACATCGTTTGAAACTTCTCACGCATCTATAATGGTTTCGCTTACTTGAGAGGTCTTTCTTCAGAGACGAGCCTATTTTTCTGCCACGTGTAATGACCCGTGGATCTCATCGGGAGCTACAATTTTCATATACAAATTTTCTTCATATGACTACAAACTTAGTCCAACAGGGAGGGTGTGGGTGTACCTATGCTTGCCTAAATCCATTTGTTCATGTCCACCGGGTAACTGGGTACAAATGTTGTGTGGGGCTGTGGGCAAGGGTCAAATCTTGGCTGTATTAATTTGTGCAAAATAAATTCCAGCTAATTATAAGAGTTGGCCCGACACCATTTTTATCCTACGTAGGGTTTAAAATTTCATGAATTTCTATAATTTCAGAAGTGGCCAAAATAAGAATCCAAAATCTCATATTACACTACATGTGCTACATATCACTAAACTCATACTTTCTATTGTTTATGTTGCATATTCTTCTACTCAATAGATGTGCAGTCTCATGCTAATGTTTTGTTTATATCCAAAAATTTCAGAAACATCAAACTTCATGTTTAAGCCACTAAAAAAATTCGGCAAATTTTTGACCGAATTTTGTGAATTTTAGTAATTCCAGGGCTGGTCGAAATTTTTTAATCTAATACCAAAATCTAAATTATATAATTTGGATTTTAAAATCAGAATACTTGATAATAAAAATACTTATCCATTTGGATCCTTGGATTTAGGTTCTATGTATTTGAAGGCTTTTTTCTCTCCAAAATAGCCATCAACCATTCTGTTGACACAAATTAAGGCCACACAACCATTTTAGTTACGGATTCTATGTATTGTAGGTTTGGGAGTCTAAGAAGCCGCACATCGGTTGCCTGTCGATGGTCCTGTGAGTCTGCATACATCATCGTCATGACATCCCTTAGAGAAGAAAGTGTTGCTACAAAGTTAAACCACATGATACATGTTGTTAATGTACTTTTATTTGGAATTTTTTCATCCATGTCTCAATGGTTAAGCAACACATTGTTGTCGAGGACACATTGTTTGTAGTTTGCATAGTAGGTCGCACGGTGATTCACACTTTGTTTTGCAAGGATTTGTGGCGGCTTGCATCCTCTATTTCATATTTGGCCCTGTTTAAGATTTTAGGAGAACATGTAAAATTTGAAAAAAAATTCTAAGCAAGGAACAAAAGTGTAGATCATGATTTTAGAAAAAAAAATATAAAACCGTTCCATATTTTCCTAAGTTGAAACAATTTTCTAAGGGCATGTCGGATATAGTATTTCTAAATGTAGACCTATTTTAGAAAAATAATGTTTGGGTATTTTTCATAAATATGTCTACACTTTTTTAAAGTTTAATTGACCTCCCTTTATTACGGTGAACGTCCGATTTATCTCTATCATGGCTGACATGGCGTCATGTAGGACGACTGATGTGACTCTATGTCGGTTGAAACCGCTTTCAAAGCCATCAAATGAGGTAAATAAAACAGTTTCAAAAGGTGAGGGAGTCTAAACATCAGGTTCTGTAATTAAGGGAGGTTAAATGGGCTTTTTCCACAATTCAATCACTCTAACCTATTCAAGCCTGAACCGGGCTTAAGGTGGTCATATATTAGGCTGAATGTAGATGGCCTGATGTGGCCTGTGGAGGTTTGGGTTGAAGGGGAAAGAAAAAGTTCACATTACCTCCTTCAACTTTTGCGAAAGTTTGTTTTTCCTCTCTAAACTCTAAAACCGGGTAAACCACCTCCCTGAACTTTTAAAACCGTTCGTTTTACCTCTCTGACCGGTTATAAGCGGTTTTCAAATACGGTTTTGTCCTTTTATTTATTTATTTTGGTTGAATATTTAAAAAATCATAGTAAATCGTAGAAAAATCATAAAATAAAAAATCCAATTTTGTTGGACTCCACATGAGTAGATCTACACAATGAACATATAATATGGTAATGTTTATGAAAGTGCATCTAGCCCTTTAGTGGGTTTTGTATAATTGAATGACAATGTGATTAAAGGTCTAACCTATTTACTAAGTGTTGGATAAGAAGTTGAATATCTCGCAGGTACTTGATGAAAGCCAAAATGATGTATTATTGTATAAATAATATAGTTCAAGCATAAGACAACAATGCAAATGTAATTAATAGAAGGCTTATTTATTGTGGGATTTTCATGATTCACATAAAAGCAAGCACGTTGAGAACTAATTAAATGAGACATAAAGGATTGCATATGGAATGGTCTCACTTGCTAAAGCTTGTTACATTGAAAGACAATTATAATTGAGCTTAATGGATGATTCAACACAAGGTGTGACTTGATGGCTTGAGATGGTGAAGATAGCAAGGAAAGGCTTTGAGGTACTAAGCAAGGGTGAAGAGCAAGCGATGACTTGGTGATCGAGAAACCTAGCTAGGGTGAAGAAAGAAGTACTTGCATTAGTTGATGTACTAATCAAACCATGATGGTCATATTGAAGTGGAGCATCAAATCTTGGATAAAGTGTTGGAAGTGACTTGACACATTTAGAGTTAACTCATATTTATTAAATGCAACCAAGTCACATGCTCAAGATGGTTA